CAGTTCAGGGCACGGCAAGGGTTATTCGGGATGCATTACCACAACAAACGCCGCTCATTTGGAGGAAGGGGGCGGTGATAGCACGCGCAGTTACAGGTTTACGCAGCGCCTACCTCCTTCGATCTTACTGACCCCATATTGACATCGACCACAGGTGGGTGGGAGAAGAGAGAGTGCGGTAGATGCAATGCAAGTCTACCAGCACTTTACACTACGCCGCGCGCTAGTTACTGTTCCCACACCACCGCCCGCTCCAGAGCACACGATGGACATCATCGCATATGACGACCAAACTGTCGGTGTAGGGATAAAACTCACCAAAAGATCTGAGGCTTGGTGTAATGTGCTGCTGTCAGCAGTATTTTCACGACACAGAGCCGATGGGGACGTTGCCTGATCGTCCGGAGTCGACCCTTTGCCTGGCAGAAGGTTAGTGAAGGCGGAGAAGGGGAAACGGGAAACTTGTTCCGTTGCTCCGGGCGGATCCGCAGGTGGATGAGTCTGTTGCTGCTGCTGCTGTTCTTGCTGGTCCTGTTTTTTGGTGTCCTCAGGTTTGTTCAGGGGAAACAGAGGAATGCTCATAGGTAAAATAGGATACACCACAGGCAACAAAAGCATAATGCAAATAGAACGAGCAGGTAGGTTTCAAGAAGCAGTTCAAAAGACGGAAATGTGATCCCTAGACCTACAGGCCCAAAAGCTTTTGATCCAATCATCACACTGCCTTTATCTTTTTCTTCTAAAGGGGAGATTTCTAAGAAGCGATTGCAGTTTGGGCATATTGCGCGGTTATTCGGCAGTATCCGTTGAAATTTAGTTCAAATATTCATATCAACTTTCACACCGAACGTGAAAAGGCTTGTTTCGAAGGATTTACTCCAAGCTTGTTTATTAATTTCTTAGGAAATTAAGGAGGATATTATGGAGGCTGGAGTTTACCTACCAGAAAACACAGAGAACCCACTGACGAGTCAATTCCCACTCAGCTTCCTTATGCGGCAGCACAACATCGGTAAAACACGCGTGGTTGAACGTTCAGCTAATGTACGTGCTGTCAGCATGGTAAATAATTACACCTTACTGATTTACTTGCTGTAGTTGGGTAGTCATTACTTAATCTTGATGGTGAATGGTAAATGATGGTAAATCTTACCTATCAATCTGTCGCGAGTCACAAATATAATAAATGAATTACTTCGAGAGATATCGTGAATCTAATTTAGCTGAGTAGTTCGGCATAAATTTGAGGGGGTTACTTCCGTTTGTTAAATTGATTTGAGGCTCAGAAAGCCTCTCACTGAAGAGTGCTTTGATATCTGCTTTATGAAGGGAAAACTGGCCAGAGTGGGGAGAAGTCGGATATCTAAAGGATTTCCCAAGCTATTAGATATCCTAAATCAAAACCAGTTGTTTGTGCTATAAACGAACATTAATATAAGTAAGACACGAATGACTGAGAAGGCTCGCGATCCAGGTATTTTTATGGACGAGGAAGAAGACGTATCGAGCACCAGATCAATTGTTTTATTGTTCTGAGCTTTCGAACTCTTACAGGAGTCCATTTTCAGAGATGAGAAGTAGCAACCAAAAAAGAAGATAATTAGAGTGATTTTTGACAGCTAGTCGGCCTATAGCCACTATAATTGCTTTCTTTTTAATTTCTTCCTCATCTCTGAAGGTGGACTCCCGTAAGAGTTCGAAAGCTCAGAACAATAAAGCAATCGACGTGGTGCTCGATACGTCCTTTTCCTCGTCCATAAGTAAGACAGATTTTAGATAAAGGTATACTGGAAATTGAAAATCGGATCTTATGTCAATGAAAATCAGCTGAAGACAGGTATGCGGAATCATATTGTTTTCAAGAAACAAGGAACATAAGGTCAAACATTTTGTATATGCGTTACTGACGGTCTGTGAGTGACTATCAATCTTTCGCCAGTTTCGCCCTTTTAAATGATTCATGTTATCTGCTGCATACCACTGTGTGCCCACGAAATGCTGTCACTTTCTCTGTCATTCGGTTCGACCAAGCTGTCAGAATATTTCCAGTAGGACTTAGATTTTGGGCGCATATGGAAAATGGCCGCCAAAGAGGTGCGGCATGAATTGTTAGGTAATTTTTTTTAATTGTTATCAGGTCAGAGTTGTGAATTGTTTCTAATAGCAAAATACTGGAATTAAACAAAGAGAATGATAAACATGATTATACGACCCTACTAATCGCCACAATCGATAGGTGGACGTTTAATGCAGGAACGGTGGCAATGGGGTAAAGCAGTTTAAAGTACGGAAAAGAGTGGCAATGCGTTGAAGATGAAAATATCTTTATATGTTCAACTTCCTAGTTCAAGTGAGCTGGCTTTTAACACGCTACCTTAATGCTCAGCGTAAGCCTATCCATTTTGTTTGTTAGAGTGAGCATTCGCTGCTGAGTTAGTAGGGCCGAACAAACGGTCTTTGCTGGCGGATCATAAGAGTCCCTAAGTAAGCAGGACGACGATCTCATGCGTTATTCATTAAAAAGTGCGCTTTGTTTTATTAAGCCACGGACGCTGATGTGCTCATCGTACTTTAAAAATAATTATTTCGAGGGTCATAGTAATAATCTTCAAATAACCTTTCACGCGGAATTCTTAATTTGAAAAAGTGTATAACTGTGCCCGTTCAAATAGGTAGCTAAATGCTTCGACATCCTCTGACCAAAGCGTATTTCATGGTGGACGCATTCGAGTACAAGAAATGATATGATGTGTGCTCAGTTTGCATAAAAGGAAAATCTATGATGACATGTCTCTCACTTGCGATCTCATTCACATCGATACAGCGATCTATGGAACAGAAAACCTGATGGCTGTTATAAAATAACATACGACAGATCTTCAGTAAATGTTGAATATGTTTATCACCTTCCATTTCAGTTATTATAATCCGATCTCTTTTGGGTTTTTTGGACCAGCAAAAACAACAGGCTTTCCTCGCCCATCGGAATTTGTTAGCCTGTGGTCAAAAATGGTGTATTTTCTTAACAATGCCACTGACAATGCATTGTTGGTCTTTCAAGCTGAGAGGCTTTTCTCTACCCATATCACTCCTGGCCATGCCTGTGTTGTTTTTGCACACAGCAACGCAGAAAGATGAACGTTACAAAGTTTTTATTGCCTATTTAAAGACATTGGCGCTTCGCAAGTACTTCAAGAATTCTGAGAAAGACCTTTGAAAATCCTTTATATATACGGTGGATTCTGCGATTTGTTTTGATGCTTTTTTTCAACTGTAATTTACGATCACTCGATAGCACTTCACAATCACGACAGACGTTATCCTACTTCTATCCTTTCTATAGCCTTTAGCATCTGTGCGACTGATGCCTACTACTTAAAATTTAGCCTGAAAGTAGCTTGTCCCCACGTTTTTTTGATTATCATTCTGTGTCCAGTAGCAATCGCCACCTTGATTTTACACCTCCGTATTTGATATTTGAAAAACATTTCTTGTAAGAAATTACTTATACATATTGGATTAACGTTCCAGCTCAACCACAGACTGTCCTCTGATACGCATGCACAAAAGACTAAATGCCTTTTTCTTAGCAAGCAGCTCTGGGACACAGAGCAAGAAGCCCACTGACCATACATCCATCACGACTTCGCTATTACTG